AGGGGCAGACGCCGCCTGGGTGGGGGGTGTTACAGTGGGGCTGGACACGGCTGTGATCTGGACCTGAACAACAACAACAGGAAGATTAACAAACATACACACCAACACAGGTACAACCAAACAGATGGAGGGAAAATCTGACAAATCTAGACACTAGATTCTCCTTACATCATCATCCCTGCTGTCCTCATCCTCCTTGCTGCTGTCCTTGCTGTCCCTGCTGGCTGGAGAGGAGGATCTGGAGTTGTCCCGATTCTGTCTCCTCACCACGTCCTCACCCTGCTCAGCCTCCCACTCATCATACACCTAACAGAGAACACATTGTACCATTGTAAGTGCAAATGTAATCATTTACCTGCACCACTCAAACTTCGAGACTAAAAATGTTCAGAAACCACTGCCATTATTTCTTTTATGCTTTGTAGATGGTAACAGTGAATGGAGCAATAAATATTCACATACACATCCATTCGCATATAAACCCCAGTACATGGACACCTTGGGGTCAGGTAGACATCAGAAATACTTGCATAATCCCCATAATCACTAAGGTGCCCGGTATTTCGAGCCCTGACAAGATAAGTCGTGACTTTCAAATTAGCTATATTGACAAAGTTAAAGGTTGTCAGTTAAGTTATTGAAAAGAAGTCAATGAAAAACATTGTCTGATAATATCAGACAATTTTTTTCATTGACTTCTTTTCAATAACTTACCTATCCCTCTGAGACTTATTGCAGGACTTGACGAGAACTTTGCACTCTTTTGTAAGCCAACAGTAATCTAAATAGATTATGTCAATCATAAGACAAACTCAGGAAAGACCTTCAGTGATACAGCTGTAGAGTGAGTGTCACAAACCTGTTGAAGGTTGAAGCGTCTCCGGTAGTTCACAAAGAAGTTCTTGCACTGGCTGACCGTCTTATTGCCCACCACCTCCGCAATGGCCTGGAAGTCTTTCCCGTACTTCCGCACACCTAGATTCCCAACAACAACAGACGCTTTTCGACTTGCCAATGAGTTGACGTCTTTGTACATGCATTGTACATATTAAGTTTCCACACTTACTAATGTCAGTTACGGTGTTGCAACTTATTTCTCAAGTTTTTTCAAGCCCCCCGTTTTTTTTCTAACAAGCCTGTGCTCATCTACTGGCATCACGACTTAATTCTATTTGCATATCAGACACTCCAATTTTGTCTACTAAGAAGGCATAATACATGTACCTGGTAGCCACAACATTTTTGGCTGTCATTAGCAACAAAATTCGAAACGACAGAGTGCCAGACGCTTGGGAAAAGTAAAGTCTGTACATGACAACTCATTTGTAAATTCACTCATTTTTGGAGAGACTTAATTTCTTGGGAGAAGGGGAGGACGGTTTTCACAAAGTTTTAAAATTTGCGAAAAAATTCTCTAGTAGAGTAAGTAGTGACTCAAGTTTTTGCACATTGTGTTTTTGTATATTGAAGGTACATGTACATGTAATGTCATAATTTTGCATCAGAGAGGTTGCCACGAGAATGTCTATATTTACAGTACCAGCATGTGTCAGTTGCTTCTCTTTGCCCAGAATGTAGAAGAATCCTATTCTATTGAACAAGTAGTACCTAAATTCATATTACCTACCTTGTACAGCTAGTAAGAGCTCCTGGTTTGTCCACTGGGCCTTGATTCGTTGATTGTTCTGGAAAAATGGAAAAAGAATAACAAAGATAAGAGCACAAGCCACAAATTTAATCGCTAAAGCTTTTCCCTGCTGATGCAGCATTTTGCTACAAATTTGTACTGCTTTTATCAGTTCAAGAGTTAGGCAACAACTGCACAAGAAGACAGTTAAAAAGCTGCTGACAGTCTGGAAAAAATGGAAAGCAATTTTGGCAATACTGAACGTCGTGATATTGTCAATAATGTCTTATGCTATTTGGGATCAGCTTTAGCGTTAGTCATCGCATTCCTATACCAAGAATATAAATTCATCCTTGTTATTTCTTCAAGATACAGTGCAATATGTCCTCAAGAGAATACTCAATATCAGTACAATAGAGAGTTAAGTTTCTGCAGAAGTTCTGCAGAAATATAAAGTTCTCCTCAAATGTTAGGAGTCCAGCTAACCACTCCTACTAACCTCTGGTGGGCGGAACTCATCAATGCTCCCAGTGGTGAACTTCATCTGGCTGGACATGCTCAGGTGTTGTTTGTTCTGTTGGACCTAAAAAAACAAACAAGACAACGGGTACACATGTAAGATATATAAATCACTTAATGTTCCATCAGTCTTTCACAAAAAGTCTGGATCTTACATTTTCAATCTTTTCATATACCATACCACATTTTACACAACATTTTGTACTCTCCAAGCAGACGTTGTGGGGGAATGATCGTTACATTTTTACATATGGCCGTTTTTTTTGTCCTGACGTTGGTGTCCGCGGACCTTCTCTGGCTAATGGATACTGCCTGGCCAATTTGATACTGTCTTTTTGCCACCGAGAGGGATCTGCTTGGAGATTAAACATTTTGGACTTTGCCTGCAATGCATGACCATCCATTCATCCAACACATACACACACATTCACACACATTCACACACATGCGCACACACACACACGCATGCATTCACACACACACCAAAGTCAGCCAGACTTGCCATTCAATCATTCATTCCCTTTCCTACCTGTCTCTTAGAGGAGACCAGTTCTGTGTCCAGTTGTCGGAGCAGTGCCTCTGCGGCCGTAGGTGAGGCTGAGATGGCCAGCAGGTCCTCCTGGTTCATGTACATCCCCCGCGGCGCCTTCCTCCGCCCGCGCAGGGGCATGTGGCGACTCGTCTTCATGGACATCTCACTTTTCATCGGCCCTCCCGCCCGCATCACGCCCGTTCTCCTGGAGAAGCCAAACAACCAGACACACAGTTACTACTACTCCTAGCCACAGAAGACAGCCCTGCTCCTATTGTGTTGCCAAAAATGCTATAAATTTTAGTCTAACAAAAAGAAAAGTATCTTGAAACGCCATCAAATCATGATACAAAAGAAAATGGTGAAATCAAACGCACCCTGTCTGCATCTTCCAATGTCGTGGAAACATACCCTTGCGCAGTGATTTTGCGTATACTACAGTTACCAATGATAAGAATTCCACTTACATTCCGTAATTGGGTGTTCTCTGACCCACTTGAGTTCTAATACAGATGTACAAAGTACAGAATGCAAATGCAAGGTCAAGTCAAATTCACAGTGTGTGAGACGCCACATTTCTGTTTCCAACCTTGCGTGTAATGTCGACAAGTTGAGGAGATGGGTTATACACAAACATGTTCAGCTGGTATAAATCAAAGCAACGTTCTCAGATTTCATCCGACCTAAAGTCACAAACAATGAAGCTAAACGATACATGTCAAATGTTGATGGCCAAAAACATGTTAAAAATTACTATACATTGTGATAATGTCATTGTTTGCATCACACACATATGCACGCACACACACACACATACAATGATTTCAAAACTAAAGACAATTTTTATACTTCTTATAATTATTTCTTTCCATCCACACAAAATACACATTTACCCACCAAGTAACAAGTATTAGCAGCCTGCAATCTCAGCGACTCAAGTTCCAACTCAAGACCAATAGAGGGATTCCCAAAAAAGCCACGGCCAGAGAATGCCGTGTCCAAATAGGCAATTCTTTCAGTTTATCTGTGACAGACGTGGGATGCAAAACCACTTTTTATGAACGCTTTTTTTTAGGTCTGGAGGTATTATATTGGTGTGGTGGAGCCTTATCGTGTCGTAAGATGGAACTGGGACTGTTGCAGGCTGTCGTGTGATTTTCACCTGGATGGAAGAAAGCCTCCATACCTCCAGTACTGGTAACAGGAGTTACAGACAGAGCCTTTGGGAGTGGAGTGGAGTTGGGAGCTTGTTGTCTGGCAGTTGGCACATGCACCACTCTCCTTCCCATTGTTCTGTGGAGAAACGTTAACACTTGATTGTTAAAATATGTCATGTACAATGTACTCAGGGCCGCATGGACATTGTGAGGTGATGCATTTGTCATTGTAAACCCTGAAGGGGTGACTGACCTCCCTAAAGAATACCATTGACAAGTAGATATTAGAAACAAATAGCATTTAGTATTAAAAAGCAAACATACATGAAGCACATGCTTCAAAAATAGTTTTGTGCTCTGATTTCTCAGATATTTCTGTTAAAAAATGTTCCAAATACATGGCAACATACAAACAAGAAGCCATAGGTGACAATTCTCCGTGAAGTATTATATATTGCAACAAAAAGAAGTAGCCATTGGCGACAATTCTCTGTGAAGTGTGATAAATCGAACAAAGAAAAATTGTTTAAACGCGCGTCGGCTCAGTCATCTTAAGACGCAACAACCAATCAGAGATGCGAGATGCCTACACGTGACGCAGGAAGGGCGCGCGATGCCCGAAATATTTTTGCGTCAATATTCAGCGCCGTGATTCAAGAGATTAATACCCGGAAACAATTTTTTTCTTGTTTTGAACGCATTAACATACATTTACGCTAATCTAGTATGATTCAGGGTTACTTTTTTTTTAACCTGCCATGGCCAGATTATCTAAAGATGTGTGTATTGTGTGTACAATCTATAGAAAGAGAAATGTACATCAGGTCCGATCATCCGATTTTCACGTTTCGGTTTTTTGGACTCGGTTCATGAACGTATTTTGGTTTGGCTCCTGGAATGTGCGAAAAAAATGACTCCCGGGACTGTCTACAGGGAACACTCGCACATTCGCGGTGTATCAGGACAGCGCGACTGGTCGTCATTAGCGCAGTAACAGTTGCATAAACGGACGAAACCATTTCAAGAAATGGGGATGTTTCGAAAATAAGCATTTACTCCAATATCAAAACAGCTACGGTAAAAATAAAAAGACGTGCATCATCCCGGACATAATGCAACACCACATGCGAAATTACACAGAAATGCGACGTACGGGGGAATGCGTTTTGGCTGCGAACATCTTCCAAAAAACTTGGCATCTCTTAACCATGGGCAAAAACATCTGGAACCACTTATAAAAACCACCCCGTATCTGCATGAACTTTTTTGAACCCCACTGCTATTCCAAACAACGCGTTTTTCTGGACCATTCCAATTCGCCTCGTAATTGTAGGGGTGCGTCTGCGATATTACATTGACCGCGAAAGCAGCAACGGCAAAAACACACATTCGTGCATCAACACGGGCATGCCCGCAGACGGCGTATAAAATTGCGTGCCGATTACACAAAGAGAACCCAGTGTTTTGACTGCGAACATGAAAAATCAGCCGATTACAACACTCCGTCCGGAGGTCCTGACCTCCTTCACGGAGTAAAAATGTAACAGTTGATTAGTGACAAAGCTGAACACAAGAACATCCAACGAGTTAACAAACTTCTCTGAACAGTATTTCAAAGTGCAAGACTGAAGTCTTGTAACATGTACAAGAATACAACACTTGACAATATTCTTTATCTAGTGAAAGAATCAACATTCTTGAACTCAGAGCCTGAGGCAGAATAACTGCTTTAGTTGCTGAAAATACCACTACTCTGGCCCGAAACAAGGACTTCATTTTGTTAGCATGTCTTGTCACATGCACAACTTTGTAACACTCATGTCAAGATGCTTGTCCATGAAAATGACAGGCGAGTTACATTTCAGTGTGCTGTCTCAGTAGTCAACAACAAAACCAGAACTGGTCTGAACTCCAAACCTGAACAAAACCGTACGTCTCTGCACTTACTACTGAACTTGATCTAAACACCACTGACTCTTTTTCGGGGTCAAAGTCACTGTCGCTGTCATTATCCATATCTGAGGAAGAGGAGGACTCACTCTCACTGAAAAACCAAACCTGGACGTTAAGGTCAAAACAAACAATCCGACACCACCACAGCTTGCGTCCCTTGTCAAGTCCTTTGTTGTACTCAGTCCTGCCAACGATTTCCACTTCTTTAAGCTAATTTGCTTTTCAATAAAGGCTTTATAAAATTGCCAATTTAGACCAAATTTGGTTATGAAGGTATATTAGTTATGAAGAAAAAAATGCAATAGATGGTTTGTTACGCAGTGGCAATAATTTTAGCATGATGTAGTTTTCTTTTCTTCTTTAATACAATCACAATTCAGTCATACATTTGTAATATATACCCAAAAGATCTGTGCATGTACCTGCAAATCTTGGACTGAATAGTACAAAAGTTGATGCATATCTAGGGACTTAGCTGTGGTGTATGTCGAGATTTGGAAAGGGGGAGGGCAGCCAGTCATGACATAACTTACAGTATTTCCCCCTTTGCCTTCCTTTTCGGGATCAAAGTCACTATCGCTGCCGTTGTCCATTTCACCATCTTCATCGCTGTAACAAAGTTTTGGTCAAGACAATTTTAAGAGGGGAAAAAACTTAACATGGTTGGTCCCATCTGCTTTTTCATTTCATCGATTTGAGTTTTGCTTTATTCAATTCATGTTACCCCCCGGTACTATAGATTGTAAAATGACCAATATATAATGTAATTCTATAATAATAAGGTGTGATACTATTAATGAAACACATTACAGCAGCAACTGTCACCCAAAAAACTTTCTGATCACAATATGAAAATAATTTTTATGGTGTGGTACATGTTGCAGTTTGAAACTTAATCACTAGATGGCACTGCTATACAGAAGCACCAAAGATATCATGTATGTTGTTATCATTTCCCTACACATGTATAAATCCATGTACGTGCTACCTGTCGCTCTGGTCCTTCTGACTTGCCAGTTTGCGCGCCTGTCTGTCCATGAGACTGGTTCTTGTTCGAGTTTTCTTCCAGGAGTAGTAATATTTCACTAAACTGGCAATAGACTTGTCTGGTAGCTACAGTAAAAAAAAATGTACAAAGACAAAACCATCAATATCATACATGTTTATCATCAATATCAGCCATTAGCCCACACCAATTTAATTTCTTGGTTAACGGATTTTTCTAGAAAAATAATGGAGCGGGCGGGCGAAAAAAATAAAAAAATAAAAATAGGCCTAGGCATCCTATTATGGCCCAAAATGGTACGATAGGAGCCATGAAGTCAACACACCAGGCTGGTTCAAAATTTAAACAATGAATTTTGAACTTTTAATGATACCATTGCATTGAAAGATGGAATAACTGTAACAACTAGGATGAAAAGGACTGTTTTCAACTGTTCAGGGCAAAATATGAGCATTTTACAGTTGATTCTGAATTTTTATTTTTATTTGCAAATTAGAAAAAAATGAAGCGGGCGATTCCGTTAACCAAGAAATTAAATTAGTGTGGCCTTACCTTTATTCTTTATATTTTTATTGTTGCCTGTTGGTAGGTGTCATCAGAAGCGAAAACTGCAAACTTCAAAATAATACCAAAAATATTTCCAGACATACAATTATAATGTATCCACTGTCATAAGAAGGGATGTCTATATATAGTATATAATCTGTAGATGAATAAATTCATATAAATCAGATCTGGACTACTTTTTAAGAGGCATTAAGGAGGCCATATATATCAGGGCACAGCCATCACTTAATAGAGTTGGTGTACGATATGAACTCTCTGGCACTTTTGATCAATTGCTTACGTCACGTATCAGTAAAGTCTCATGTGAATAAGATCACATGATTGTAACCGTAACTCGCGAGATCACGTTTTGAAGTGATTGGTCATTATTTATCCTGATAAAGGCGACAGTGGTCGCTGAAAATTTGATCTCTGTGGAACTTTGTGTTGGATTAAACTTAAAGTTGATTGTTTTACTAAGACCTGGATTTTGTCTCAAATCAATTAAATGTCAGCAACACCCATCCAATTGCCCATTTTTAATTGGGGTATTTGGTAATTGGGGTATAAGTACATAAAAAAAGGAAACTAGACAGGAAATAGAAGGGTTTTCAATATTGTCTTTTTTCATAACCCTTTCAATGTTCAAGTTGGCAGGACTGGGTTGGTGGGAGCAGTGGACAGAAACCTGTCATGGGCAGCCTGACACATCCATCCAATTATCCAGGACAGAGCAGTATTTAACGTTTAGGCCATGTTGATTTGATTATATGGATGACATCCGCGCGCGCATCAATTTTCGGCCGTTTCCAAAAAAAAAAGTTTTCAACCATACTGTAAATCGTACAAAACAGTTGCAAAATGAGCACAAATATACCGTTAGTTACAAATAAAACAAGAAGCCATAGGCGACAATTCTCCGTGAAGTATTATATATTGCAACAAAAAGAAGTAGCCATTGGCAACAATTCTCTGTGAAGTGTGATAAATCGAACAAAGAAAAATTGTTTAAACGCGCGTCGGCTCAGTCATCTTAAGACGCAACGACCAATCAGAGATGCGAAATGCCGACACGTGACGCGGGATTTGCATACAGTCTAAACAACGGGGAAGGGCGCGCGATGCCCGAAATATTTTTGCGTCAATATTCAGCGCCGTGTTTCAAGATATTAATACCGGGAAACAATTTCTTTCCTTGTTTTGAACGCATAAACATGCATTTACGCTAATCTAGTATGATTCAGGGTTACTTTTTTTTTTACCTGCCATGGCCAGATTATCTAAAGATGTGTGTATTGTGTGTACAATCTACAGAAAGAGAAATGTACATCAGGTCCGATCATCCGATTTTCACGTTTCGGTTTTTTGGACTCGGTTCATGAACGTATTTTGGTTTGGCTCCTGGAATGTGCGAATGTGCGAAAAAATGACTCCCGGGACTGTCTACAGGGAACACTCGCATATTGCCCAACATTCGCGGTGTATCAGGACAGCGCGACTGGCCAAGCAACCAGTCGGCATTAGCGCAGCGGCAGTCCCTGTAATTAGTAACAGTTGCACATCAATCCGGCCGAAAGCATGATTGTGTAACGCAGGCTACTTCTTCATATACCGGCTCATACTACAAGACGCCTTTACAAATAGCAAATCATAAAATTACCCGATCTACTAGTGTGTGCGGTTTACCAGGCCCAGACCACATCCGACCACGAGGCAGAACACATTGATGGGTTGCTCAAAAATATTGTCCATGTTTACAAAGAGCTGCTCCACTAACACTATGGAGCGGCCCAACCCAAAAATATTGGCCATGTGTACATACAGTGAAGCGGCCAGCATGCTCGTTGCTAGGACGACCGGCCAGTTGCTACGTGACTAAATACACGCCGCCACTTGGTCGCCACAGCCGACCAGTTTGAAATCGATAGGATTACGTCATCGGTATTTACGTTTCGTAATGTTGACCTCTGACCACCCCACATTTCCGTCCCCATCAGCCTGACCGCCACTTACTAAGTACTACCGGTCACATAAACGGACGAAAACATATTTCAACGACATGGGGATGTTTCGAAAATAAGCATTTACTCAAATATCAAAACAGCTACGGTAAAAATAAAAAGACGTGCCTCATCCCGGACATAATGCCACACCACATGCGAAATTACACAAAAATGCGACGTACGGAAGAATGCGTTTTGGCTGCGAACATCTTCCAAACAAGTGCTTTTCAAAAAAAGCTGGCATTTCGGCCTGCTATCACTGCCACATGTTGTATATGTCACTGTGTGTCTGGTTGGAGATGGCTTTTTAAATATGTTACTCTGCGTCAATGAAAACCACGCTACATCTGCTTGGAGATGACAATAGTCAGACCATGAATGTCACCAATATCTGCTTGGAGATTAGTAGCGTTATCAAATTAAGTACTTTGTACATGTACATACAGGCTGAGTCAACCCTCCAGCATGGGCTGAAACGGGACCATGGGGACTGTTGTTTCAAATCGTTCTGCCGCCATTGATTCGAAAATTTATGGAATTTCGCTATCACTGTCACATGTTGTATATCCTATATGTCACCATGCATTTGTTTGTTTGGAGATAACTTTATAAATATGATAGAGTACATCTGCTTGGAGATGACCATACATACATCACCCGACATCTGCTTGGAGATGACTTGGTATATGTCACTGTACATCTACTTGGAGATAACGTTGTAAATATGCCACTCAAGACATGAATAGGCTAGGGAGATGTAGAATAGATTATTTTAATTTGACTTTTGTTTTAATGAAACCAAAGCAAAAGTGTGGTAGAGATTTTGCAGGGGACAGAAAGCAATTGCAAATTGGATATTTTTTTGCATTTGTGAAAATGTAAGCATGATTTATTTGTTTTCAATATCCAAAGGTAAATGGTTAAGCATACCTTTATTTTTAACACTTTATGAGATCTCAAGACAATGTAAAAACTAGAATATCCTGGTCTACAAGTTGAGTTAAAAATCCTCTAGGAAAAATCATCTTATACACAAATTAACAAATGATTTGCACTTATCCAATTTCCTTTGTGCGCATGTATATCTTTGCGTAAGATAGCTACATTGGTGAAAGAAGTTGAATTCAATTGCAATGTACAAAATGTATGTAGTGTATAATATATGGACCTTGTTACTCTGAAATATTTTATCGTAAAAATGGGTATAGGAGGAATTAATTTTGTATAATTATAAGAAATGAAATAACTTCAGTGAATTAAAACTTAAAAGTTTATTAACTTGAAAAAGAAGAGCAGCTTATCATACATGTATGACTGTATACATGACTTGCTGAAGAAAGGCTTCAAGAAAAGGATGTCAATATGAAACATGTCTTAAGCCTTTATGATTGTATAATGCGTTGTAATGGTGCTCAAGGAAGTTGAAAATAACCACCTTTAATGCAATCCAAATGTGTTTTAACAATCATTTATGACATCTTTAAACTCCTGACATGCAACTAGAAAATTTTATACATGAATTGCTGAAGAAATACTTCAAGAAAAAAATGTCAACATGAAACATGTCTTAAGCCTTTATGATAACTTTAAGCTGCTCGTTTTACATCACTGATGACAATTTGTTGTTCAGTTACATGTACATGTACAGAGAGTTGTGTTTTGTATCTGATTCTACAGCAAAGAATGCTTTAGTTGTAAAGGTCTTCATTCTTCATTATAGTTGTAAAATTAGTGTTTGCTTTAATTTTCGTATACTTAGTAGTTATGTTTTCTTGAGTGCTTCGTGGCAGATCCTGGTATGATCTAGTACAAAATGCAGTCTGCAGAATAGCAAGATAGTGCTTGTGTGCAAAATGCACAGTGCTTAGTGGTAGATAGGGCACAGACGGACGAGACTGGTAAAGTGCAATAGCACAGTGCACGGCGGCAGTGGTTATTATTTGTTATGAGTGCAGAAGCACAGTCTGCACGGCGGCAGTACGTAAATTTGTTATGAGTGCAATAGCACAGTGCACAGCGGCAGTGGTTGTATTGGTAATGAGTACACGGCTCTGGTTATGCAGCAAAGGGTAATCCAGGACAGACCTGAAAGAGAGGGAAAATAATTTATTGTGTCAGCATAACATCCAATTGAGCATATGCATATTGAATACTCCTTGCTATAAGCACATGGGAAGTCTTTTCTCATATAGAAGTTTGAGTTTCATTGACGGCATTGGTGGAAAAATTCTAATTATGCTCATGCAAATGTACCTTCTGAAATTGCAACCGCTTCGAATATAAGGAAAATTTGCAAGTGAATTGGATTATTTTAAAGCACGGAATCATTCCTTCAATATGGCGGCAAATGAAAACCCTAGTATTAGGCCTGGGAAAAATGTTGTGTTCCTGTTTCAGTATGTTGACCTTTATGATTTAATATTCCTGCTCTCTGCAGGTGCCATGTTGAAAATATCTTGTCGATTGCCGGGGGAAAATGGAATTTTGGGCAAACATTCATAAATTTTAAGAACTTAGAACATCAGATGCATGTATCAGATGATGTTGTTGTTGTTGTTGTTGTATCGGTCGTCTTTTTTGTAAATGTTGCCGTAATCTTTGCACAGAAAAAACTGGCCATGTGTCCCAGAAAAATTATCAGAAATTATTGGACACAAAAAAAGGCTAGAGTCTGCAGTTTTTTCTAGGGTCGGTCGGGAAACAGGGAACATTTTTCCCAGGCCTTACCGGTATACAGAACGTGCATATGTGCTCCCCTCGATCCCCATACGTGTACTTAAGCTAAAATTTCTAAGAAACGGAACGAAATAAACTGAATACGACACGACAAAAGCACTGGAGAGAAGACACTTAAAATTGACAAACATTTGCTGGCATTAAAGCAAGAAACTTAGCCAAGCATGCACTGGGTCATACGAAAAGGGTATAGATAATTTTGTTTCACGTTCAGAGGAGAGGGGAGGGGGGGGGGACAGAAGCCTTACACGGAAAAATCGATGCAACAGTCAAAGAAAGCACGATGTCATTGATTGTCCATGTCCTTAGTCTTTTAAGCTATGCTGTTTTGCTGTGACTCTATGCCTAATACGCTTATAACTGCTGATATTGTGGATCGTGTAAAGGTAAAACCAACCTAAATGTCCGCTATGCCGCCCAGCACTGGTATGACGTTACATCCGGGACCTGGTATGTACACTCACTCCCTCTTGCGATTTGAAGCAGTAACGCAGTGTGCACCTGGTATGTACCAGTACACTCACTCCCTCTTGCGATTTGAAGCAGTAACGCAGTATTCGCCCGCCCATGGATCCATGGATGCATGGGTCCATGGATGCATGGGTCCATCCATCCATTCACCGCATTTAATTTCCGCCTTACTCCATTTCGGCCTAATGGCCGAAATGGAAAAACTTGGCATCTCTTAACCATGGGCAAAAACATCTGGAACCACTTATCAAAACCACCCCGTATCTGCATGAAGTTCCACCCCAGTTCTGGACCATTCCAACTCGCCTCGTAATTGTAGGGGTGCATCTGCAATATTACATTGACCGCGAAAGCAGCGACGGCAAAAATACACATTCGTGCATCAACACGGGCATGCCCGCAGACGGCGTATAAAATTGCGTGCCGATTACACAAAGAGAACCCAGTGTTTTGACTGCGAACATGAAAAATCAGCCGATCACAACACTCCGTCCGGAGGTCCTGACCTCCTTCACGGAGTAATAAATAAAAACCATACCAATGTCGTAGAATGCCAAAATCAAATGAAAAAAGACGAAATTGTAAAGAAATGAACTTGAAGACTAGATTATTCGCCAAACCATATTCTGTGCCATTTGCTCAACCCTCATGACCACGTAGATTTCATAATGAAGACAACTTTTTTTTTTGCAAAACTTTTTTTTTATTCGCACGTGCGCATCAGTTTTGGGGTTCCCAGAGGATGTCATCCATATAATCAAATCAACAATACTGAGACAAGAAGCCAACACTATGAGAACCAATGTAAATTGACCCTGTGGGACTTAATTCAATCATTAGTTGTCCAAACTCATTTTACATGATGGCCTGAGAAATGCCTGACCATCTGTTGTAGAGGTTGGTGGAAAAGTCCAGGAAATTTCTTCATTTTTGTCACAGTTGTTTTTTCAGGTTACATTTTCAAATACAAGGTGCAGTAATTTTAGAGACATACCTAATATTAATATGAGCCCACCTTTTGGTATTCAAGGTGTGGAAATTGATTTTGTAATTTTGTTTACAATACAGATGACATGAAAGGTAATCAATATAAAACCTGGCTGAATTAACAGATGAACAAACCAAAATGAACATCTTTATAAGACTAGTGGTTTATCACAACTTATTTTCCATATCATTTCAATTGGTAAAATATCACAGTAATTACAGCATGGAGTGTTATAGTTAGTTAATATTTACAAAATATTACAATTTTAGTGTCGTGTACACTTTCGGGAAACATCATATATTATAAAACATACTATATTTCTGTACTTCAATGCAAATACATGTACACTTAAAACCGTTTAATACCCCGGTAAATGTATAATTATATATATGACAAGGACCTACCATCTGTTGAATACGGATGAAACTTTTCCCATGGAAGCTGAAGGCTTGTTCAAACAACACTTTGTCTTCCACCGTCCATTCATCTGCCAGGATTGGATAAAGGGCAACCATCAACAAACATTCCAGGATGTACTGTCACTTATCATAAATATTTTATGAAAAAATAAGGCAGGTCTACGACAGGGCTGTAGACAGCACCCGTTTTTCTGTCAATTGTGAGGAAAAATTTTTTAACCAATCTGTCGACCTTGATAGACTAAATCGACAAAAATCTTCGAGAAAAATCTTGGGAGAAAATATAAAAGCACCAGAAGGACCACTGACAACTACTCTCAATGCTTTGCCTCTCAAAATGCAGGAAATTGCGCTTCTGAAGGCTTAAAAATCCAAAATTTTCCAGGGAGCATTCAAACGCATTCGATCATGAACCTGGGCTCACAGAAGAAAAATTTGAGCTGGCTAGAGCTCTGGTCTACATTGTGTTATATATTATTGACATGCATGTTCTGTTGAAAAGATTACTTAATGCATAAACTTGCTTTTGGGGTTTATCTAAAATTTCCTAATGTACCTCCCTTGAATGATTGATTTTCTGTGAACTTGCAATGTTGTATTGCAGACTTCATTGCTATTATATCAGGCAAACATGTATTCATCAGTGGAAAAAAATGGCAAGCATAAACCAACTATAAATCAACAAATGACTCTTATTTTCTTATTTATCTACCTGAGAACAAGGTAAACTGTAAGGCAATGGGAGGAACCTACCTGGGAATGGGGTAAAGTTGGGCAAGTCTGCCAGAGACTTTTCAATGTTGTGCTTGTGCCAAAACAGCATGCCAAGGGCCTGTACAGACGTGCAGATTTAGAACAAACATCAACAAACAACAAGTGACTTGAAAATCTACTTACAGTAGTTACAGAGCAAGGTCATACAAAGTTTACGCTATGGCCAGCATGGCCACACCAATTTAATTTCTTGGTTAACGGATTTTTCTAGAAAAATAATGGAGCGGGCGGGCGAAAAAAAATAAAAAAATAAAAACAGGCCTAGGCATCCTATTATCGCCCAAAATGGTACGCTAGGAGCCATGAAGTCAACACACCAGGCTGGTTCAAAATTTAAACAATGAATTTTGAACTTTTAATGATACCATTGCATTGAAAGATGGAATAACTGTAACTAGGATGAAAAGAACTGTTCGGGGCAAAACATGAGTATTTTGCAGTTGCTTCTGAATTTTTATTTGCAAATCAGAAAAAAATAAAGCGGGCGAATCCCTTAACCAAGAAATTAAATTGGCGTGGCCTACGTTCCTAAAATAAATAGGTTGCATTACAAAAATTTATTTTGTTATATCACTAGTGGTGGTTCAAAAGTCTGTAATATCTGTTTTGAAAATGAAATCATACATATTCTACCATGCTGAAATTGGTGGTCATACTACATGTATCATACTGTAATTAGCATACTATTATATATAATATTATACTGTAATACTAATAATTGACCTTTACCTGTTCTGTATTGTACCCATGTTTTTCCTTGGCTATGTTGATATATTCATCCACTGTGGAGAAAAAACAAGAAGCTACATCAATTTAGAAGTCTTGGACAAATGAACTTTGCCAATATCAAACTCTATCGTTAAAAATCACTAAAAGATTCAAATTTGTATTCCCTTCAAAATAACAATCACATAAGGCCATGTTGATTTCATTAAATGGATGACATCCACGCGCCCATGAATTTTTGGCCGTTTCAAAAAAAAGTTTTCAAGCATACTGTAAATCGCACAAAACAGTTGCAAAATGAGCAAATATATACTGTAAGTTTTTTAAAAATCGGAAAGCGGTACCAATGTCGTAGAATGTCAAAATCAAAGAAAAAAGACAAAAATGTGAAGAAAGAAATTTGCAGAGTAGATTATTTGCTTTACCATACTCTGTGTCATTTGTTCAACCTTCATGACCACGTAGATTTCAAAATGAAAGCAACTTTTTTTGGGGCCAAACTTTTTTTTTAAATTTAATTAGCACGCGCGCATCATTTTTGGGGTTCCAAGATCTAGAGGATGTCATCCATATAATTAAATCAACATGGCCTAACAGAGGTGTCCCTTTAGGCTTATTTTTAGGCAATTAAATGTTAAGTACATTACACTGTACTGGCAAAGGAAACATGAAACCTGACATTTCAGACTTCCGGGAAATGTTTTGGGTTTGCGGTTGCATTCACTACTGTCAACCCACATGTACTTTGTCCAGGCAAACACAAGCCAAACAAACATTTCAGCCATCAAAACAATATTTCCTAGACCCTGAAGTAAGAATTCCATGAATATGCTTCATACAACTTCTGAGTCAAGAATGAGCAGGTAGAATGGTTACTCTGATGTCCCGATTAAACGTACCGGTACGTTTATTTTTTTCGGCCCGAACGTCCACCCGGTACATTCTTATTAGGGACGGTACGTTTATTAATTTTTGGGAAAAAAATTGTCCGTACGTACCGCACCATCAGCAAGTGGCCGGCGGCCGCAAAATTCGGCAACACGTCACAGATAAATATTTGGTCCATGATAGCGGCATTTCCCATGAATATAATGTATATTATTTATTTTTCGCCTGCTGTCCATTTTTAAGTCCCAAAACGTCTGAAAAAGCAAAAATTTGCCCACAAAACCGAAGGGGAAGGCGAGTAGCTAATCGACGTCACACGGCGGCCGCAAGTCCTTGTCAAAATCGGCAACGCGGCAGAAAAATGCCTGGTCCATTTTAGCGATATTTACCATGAAAAAAACGTATGTGGTTTATTTTCCCTCTGGTGTTAGTTTTTAGGTCCCGAAACCCCTAAAAAAGTAGAAATTTGCCCACAAGACGGACGGCCGACGTGGGGAGGGCGCCTAGCGCCTGAGCAGCATGACCCGTTAAAAAGTCAAAGGTCATAGGGCACCCATATTGCGCAATCACCGTAAAAGCGCCGATTTAGCTAATTTTAGGGCGTTTAAAATTGATACAATCACATTATCGATTTTAAAAAAAACAATGAGATGGAAACCAATCAAAATTTTATGCTGAATAATATTTTTTTCTTCAAAAGTTTTTTTCTTCAGAAGTTTTTCTTCTTCAGAATCCAGACTTTGACCAGACTAGACAATGTACCATACCAAATAATTATTATGTTGAAATGGATTTTGTTGTAGATATACTCATTAAACCCCTATATTTGTACTTAATTGGGCTTGATTTTCTATCTCTTAAGTTAGTCAGATTTTCAACTCAAGTTGCAGGAGAAGGCTTAGCATTGAAGTGCATTTCAGAAGTGTAAAATGCAATAGCTTCTCCTACGGATTTTGTATTTCCCCAAAACAAGTACAATATATATATACTCATTAATTAAAGTGATATATACTAACTAATTAAATGTAACAGTGAAAGATTTGCCAATATATTGGTATTGAAATAAAGAGCACATTTTAGTATCAAAGACACACAATTCACCTGTCAATTTGGTCATTTTCCGGGGGGTACGTTTATTCCGGAGGGTATGTTTATTAGACTTTGACGATTTGTCCGGGGGGTATGTTTATTCCGGGGGGTATGTTTATTAGGGACATGAGAGTAAGTAATGTACACGTACACGTTAACCTTGTCCTTACATGCCACCCCTCCCCACAAGGCCTAATGACCAGCAAATCAATACGGTTTCATTGACCACAATTTGCATGAAAGCCTTGTGACCAGCCCAACATCTATCATGTCCTGGGTGGTTACTGGGTATAGGTACGTATCACCACATATTGATTCACAGAAAAAAAATTACCCTCCCATAAGACTGTTCAAGGAATTAACATTTCGTCCATGTCTTTTTTTCCATTCCTTAGGCCACACCAATTTAATTTCTTGGTTAACGGATTCGCCCGCTTCATTTTTTTCTGACTTGCAAATAAAAATAAAAATTCAGAATGAACTGCACAATGCTCATATTTTGCCCTGAACAGTTGAAAACAGTACTTTTCATCCTACTTGTTACAGTTATTCCATCTTTCAATGCAATGGTATCATTAAAAGTTCAAAATTCATTGTTTAAATTTTGAACCTGCCTGGTGTGTTGACTTCGTGGCTCCAATCGTACCAATTTGGGCCATAATAGGATGCCTAGGCCTGTTTTTATTATTTTTTTTCGCCCTCCCGCTCCATTATTTTTCTAGAAAAATCTGTTAACCAAGAAATTCAATTGTTGTGGCCTCAGGGCACATATAGCCCATAAAAATATCTCTTTTCTCTAAGTTTTAGTTTCACAAAATTGATACCCTTATGTTAACATTAATTTCACCTATATAAAGAAAGGAAAAACAGCTTTTGAGTAGAGACTGGTAACATGCCTGCCATGATTATGAAAACATCTTAAGGCCATATCAATTTTATTTGTTGTTTCTCGGATTTTTTCAGAAAAAATATGAAGCAACAGGGTGAAATAAAAAAAAACAGGCCAAGGCATCCCACGAAAGCCGGAAATGTTACAATATGAGCCATAAAGTGAACATACCAGGCTGGTTTATAACTAAAGCAATAGATTTTGAACTTTTAATGAAACAAAATTGCATTGTTACATTGAAAAACAGTAACAACTACGAAGAAAAGGACTTTCTTCAACCGTTGGGGCCAAAATATGTCTTTCACTGAGCATTTTGCAGTTGATTTAGAATATTTAATTAGAACAAAAAAAGTTTAGTTTTTTTTGCAAACCAGAAAAAAATGGACAGGGCAAATCCGAGAAACAACAAATTAAATTGGTGTGGCCTAAACTGAGCCTGGAAAAAAAAGAGAAGACAAAGACAATTCTGGTCTTACATTTAGTATCAGAGATGTCCATACATGGGGCCCACACCAACAGGGCATCATGTCTGAGGGGTGGAGGGTCTTCCTTCATGGACTCTGCAATTACAACAACAACAAATTCACAACAATATCAACGTAGGGAGATATTCTGTTTTATATCATACCCGGGCAGCAATAACGTTCGATAACGGGTTCCGGACCGGACCGTACTTTACAGTATGGCCCAGGCTCCATGGCTTCCATAGAACAATTCGAACGCGTTTCGCCCTAACCGCGTGCGCCGCTTTCGAAAATTCGAATACAGAATCCGAACATTGGAACTGATGTTGTTGCATTTGAGGGTTTAGGGGCACCAACTTTTGGCTCATCTTGCATTGAAAGGTGCGTTTTCTTGGGTGGGTATGACATAAATAAAATACAACACGGTGTATTCCACATCGCCCTC